ATGGACTGGATGTTTCTTATAATGCCGTGTCTCTAACATACACTTGAACATTTTTTTTCCTGAAATGTAGCTTTTTCAAATCATCTGAAACTCACTCTTTTCAAGTTTTTATGTTTCTACCTCTACCTTTTTCTCCTGAAACTTTTAACTTTTTACATATTGATAACCAGTCATCTGCACTTTTTTACATGTTGATAACCAGTCATCCTTATGCTCTACATGCTCAAACCACCTCAATCTTCCCTGATGCACCCTATCAGATACACTCACCATGCCTAATCTTTTTTTTAAATCATCACTGCTTTTCTTGTCTTTTAGAGTCACACTGCACATCCTTCTAATCATCATCCTTTCTATCCTTTCCAAATGCTGAACATCATCAACCTTGATTGCTTTTAGTTTCTTTTTCATTCAATTAATTCTTAGTAGCCCCTCCCCCTCCCCTCTTTAATGATAGAGACCTAACTCTGACTTACTCTGAAGCAAACCTTACTCTTGCCCTAGATGCTTCTTCTGCTCTTCCAGCTGATCCAATTGTATCTCCAAGATAAAAAAAATTTAATAACACACTCTATCTTTCCTCTACTTTTTATTTCAACCACTTTTTTAACTTACTCTATACTCACCAAAAATACTTTTTCTACACTCAAAATCAACAATCTTAAAAGAGCCTTGTACCACCACATCTCTTATGAACCAATTACCTACAAACTGTCTAAGCAATAAAATTTGCTCTAACTCCATACCTACACACTCCACATGACACTCCACTTCCCAGTATTTTTTGCTTGTTCATTCTTGACTGTACAGTGCATAACTTTTGTTTTATTCATGTTTATCTTGAGCCCTTTAGCTTCAATTCCATCTTTCCAAATTTCAAATCTTAATACTGATTCCTCTTCTGTTTCTGTTTTCTGCTATTAGACACAAATTATGCACAGAATAACTCCCACGGTAAACCAACTCTTAACTCTTAAGAGCTTCTAAAACAATAATAAAAAGCAAAGAACTAAGTACTGAACCCTGATGCACACCAACTTTTACTTCAAAACTAAAATCTCAATTGTTTTGATTGTTGTTGTGACATTTTCATACATAGCCATGATGACTGCCACTAGCCATTCTTGAATACATAAACACTAACAATTATAAATGAATACTTGTATGCAATGTTGTTATTTAAAGGAACTATTTCTGCGATACATCATAAATCATGATGAGAGAAGAAAAATATTAGTAGCTTGCCATGTTCATCCTACTTCTGGCTATTTGGGTAAAACAAGGACATTAGGCAGGGTAAAAGAGCGTTTCATGTGGCACGGAATGGTAAAAAATGTCCATGAGTTGGTAATTTACATTTTGCATTATTATGCGTTAGAGTAAATACAAAAAGTTTTGATTTTCCCTAATAATTTATAATAAAGTGTTGCTATACCATTCTATTCTGTTTCAGCTTATATCTTGTGGTGTATGCCAGAGAATGAATAGAAAGTTAAACTGTGGAAAACCAGAGATGCACCCAATAAAGGTAAAAGCTCCATGGTATATGGTTGGCATAGATTTTATTGGCCCACTCAGTACAATTAGTGAAGATGGTTGTAAATACATTTTAACTATTAGTGACTATTTTTCAAAGTAGGTTGAAGTAATAGCCACTAAAGACAAAATGGCAGTTACAGTGGCAGGATGTCTGTTCGAGGTATTACATTTTTATTTCTGTCATTGTTTTAGCATCCTTGCTAAATGCTACCTTTCTGGGTATCAAGTTTTTGTGTCCAAATAGTTTGCAACTTTACATTCTATATTTCCAAACAATCTTAAAATTCCTTGATAATCTCAACTTAATACACTGATTTTCTCTCCAATTTCTTTATACATAAATCTATTTATATATGAAAATTTATTACAAAAATATATCCCTAAACTTATATGTAATGAAACTATTTTGGATATCCGAAAAAACAAAAAGTAGAGAAAATATCAGGAATTCCAGAAATATCAAGAAATATCCAGATAATCCTTGAACATTATTATTTTTTTTGTAACTTCTATTTTTATTTTTTGATTTTGTCTAAAAGAGAAAAGGCATCAATGGCAGAGTCAGCCCAAATGTGATAAATACACTTATGATAATTGTTGCTAAAGTTGCTCTTTTTAATTTCTAACCTGAATTATTCTCTTAATTCACATGCTTGTCATTTCTTTTCAGCTTGGTTTGGGTATGTAGAGCGTAAAGGTGCTACTGATTGGGTATCAGCATTTAGAGAGAAGTTTTATAAGAAAAAGTGAGGTAGGTAAAGAAAATTTTTGAAAGAGTTAAAGAAAGACAATGCACAAGATTGATGAAACGTGCAGTAGCGGATTTAGTATAAGGCATGGGGGAGAGCTGCCACACACACACACACTCCCTAGAACAGGGAGAACGACGCCCTTTAAAACATTAAAAAATATGTATGTAATATGTATGATAAAAGTCATGTAAAACCAACAACAACAACAACAACAACAAGCTATTTATTTTATGTTTATCATTTTACAATAGTTTTGATAATAATAATAATAATAATAATAATAATAATAATAGTAATAATACCAAAAATATATAATAATAACATAAGATAAAAATACCACCAGAGTTGTTAGTCCTTGGGCTTGACCTTAACCTTGGCTTTTCATTAAGGCCAAAAATTGAAGTCTTGGCCTTGAAATTGTTAGCCTTGGTCTTGAAAATTTTTGCCTTGGCCTTGATTGTTTTGGCCTTGGCCTTGAAAAAAATACATAAAAAAATACATTTCGAAATGTGATTCGAAACGCAAATCACGATCTGCTTTGATTAAAGATTTGGTTCAAAACAAAAAATGCTGATTTGCGGGGCTCTAATGTATATTGTACTATTATCATAAGTCTATTATTCAGGTTTTCATGAGGTTGGGAGTGCCAAGAGTTTTGCTGTCAGATAATGGGACTGAATTTTGCAATGAATTTAATAATACCCTTAATGTATTGCTTGGTATAAAGAAAAGGCTCACAACTCCATATCACCCACAAGTAAGTTAAATGTTTATTTATTGTTAGTGAATAGGTTAGTAAAGAAATAAGATAATAATATCTCAAGTTATTTGTTTAATTAGGTTAATTAGTTAGAATTATTTAAATTACAAAACAATTTGTTTTCCATTTAAGGCTAATGGGCTTGATGAACAATTTAATCAGACTTTGCAGAATATGCTAGTAAAATATGTATCCTCCAAAAATGAAGTCTTTTTTTAGATATCTGTGCATTTGCGTACAATACATCTTGTCATGATTCCTGTCACGATAATTTTGGTCCGCCAATAAAAATGACCCCGGACTAAATTTCTCAGAAAATATATATCCGGCCGGATAATTTTTTTCTGAAAAAATTGGTCTGAGCTAGAAAAAATTGGTCCGTGTTATGCATGTGCGCATATATCTTTTAAATTATCATGGAAGACGACCTTGTTCAAAAAGTTTTTACTTATTTAAGTAAAAAGCAATACCCTGATGGAAGTCTAGAAGGCGAAAAAAGAGTCATTAGAAAAAAAGCCTTTAAGTTAATGATTTCGGAAGGTGGGGATTTACTATATAAGTATAAAAAGAAAGACAAGGTAACTCGTTTATATATAAATACACACTCACTATTATTATTATTGTTATTATTGCTATTATTTTGTTATTATTAATAATAATAATAAACTAGTTAAACATGTATTTACATAATATTACTATCACCTAAAAACATAATAATATTATGTTTTTAGGTGATAGTAATATTATGTAAATACGTGTTTAACTAGTTTACTATCATTATTACTTATTATTGATTATTGATATATTTTAGCTTTAATTTTGATTTGATGTTTATTTTTATTTTGATAATGAGTATTAATATCATACTAGCTGGGGTGACCCGTAAAATACGGGTCTTTACCGAACCGACCATTTTTATACTTATCTATAGCTATCCGGACGTAAACTAAGGGTCTTAGTAAATCTATTCCACACCGACCTTTTCTATACTTATTCCTTACCTCAATACTTTTTTAAAACCGTTTAAAAATGTACATATAAAAAACTATACTTACTTTTTGATATGACAAAAACATTTCTGTTAAAATGTTCTTTTAAAAACTTCAAACGATTTTAATATTATGCCGATTATAAAAATTTTAATAAGAAAAAACGTAAAAAAGACTACGAACTTAGAAAAATGCTAAAACATTCAACACGTGACGCCGTTAAAGTACGCCGTAGTTAACGTTCATAACATATACACATCTAATTAGATTTTATTTAAATTCAGTTGTTGCAAACTTGGTTTTGAATTTTTAATTACACTTCTTATGCGTCATAAATAATCTTAAATTCTAAATAGAAAATACGTTTATGGGCTAATTGGTAGACGCGCAACACTTAGACATTTATAGTCATCTTACCCCGGGAGTTCATACTCCAGTGACTTTTTTTTTTCATCCCAACTTACAACAAAAGTAATTAAAAATAAATGTTATCATTGAAACAGTTTTAAACATTTCTTCCTATTTATCATTGAACTTAACTTTATTCACTGCAAACATACTTTTGGTGTTTGTAAGCGTTATTTTACGTTTAGTATTTGTAGGAATTATTTGCACGCACGTATTTTAAACAATTATTTTTACTGTTTCATCTAAAAATCTTATTTAATTTAGTTTAATAATTTCTTAAATATAATATATATAATGCAATTTAAAATATTTTATTAACCCTATTTAAATAAGTATCAAAACTCTTTTCTTTAATTTAAAAAGAATTTAAAATTAACGTAGGCTATAACGATATTTTACCCTTTCATCAACATTTATTTAAAAAGTAAATTTGGATATAGAAAAACGGGTTAAAGACTTATTATTTTAAATGAGTTAGCTTTATCTATTTAATGCTTTTCGTAAAAGCGTTTCTTTAAAGACTCTTAACAAATCATTCAAGCTGTTTTTACTGCCTAAGTTATTAAACCTGTTGTGTGTGCCAAAAATCGATACTTAATGCAAATGGAAACTTCGAGTGCTAATGGTGATTAAAGCATAAATGGTTACTATTCATATATAATAAAAGGAAATATGAAAGACAAAGCAAAAATGATTTTTATATCCATTTAAAACAATAAATCCCAAAATAAAAAAATATAGATATTTACTTAAAAACATATTTTTCTTGATATAAAATAAAAATATAACCTTTAGTACAAATTACAAAAAAAAAAATTATTCAACAGAGCTACTTATAATACAATTTAAATTGAATCATTGTTTCATAAATATTAAGCTTTAGGTAAGCCACAATCAAGTCAGCTATAAGAAACGGAACTAAAAATGGAACAAAGTTATTTAAACGAATAATCATACACATTAAGTACAAATTAACATGTCATGCAATCAATACTTTTGAAAACTCAAATATGCTAATAAGAAACTTACTTTTTTATTTTTACATAACCCTGACAGACCAACATGAATGTGAGCTAAATCTATTTGCATAAAACATCACAACAATTAATTAAATAGCAGAACCACCTTCAAAGGACAAAAAAATTAGTTTTTTAAGGAAAATTAGAGTTATTGGGAGGGGAGGTATTAATAAATAAAAAAGCTCAACTTGAATTTCAAAATTAGTTCATAGTTTTGTTGAGGGTTATTGAGTTATTCTGAGTTTATTATACATATTTTTAACTACTAACACCACACACTTATATTCTTAGTTCTAGAAGGTGCTACATAGAATTTGATAGTGTGAAAACCAAATCCCTTTGAGATTAACATTAACTTTATCAAATGTATGACCGTGACTTTTATTTCTAGTTAATGAGCATTGTTGATAAAGGTGTCTTTATTTAAATGATTTACTTTGATAACATTTAACATTCATGGGAAAAATTAAAAAACAACACAAAAATAAATTTACAAAAATAAATTTACAAAAATATATTACAAAAAAAAAAATGAAGTGGCTCAAAAGTTGTCAATTTCTTTACATTTTAAAATGTAAAAAAATTATTGACAACTTTTGAGCCACGTTGTCTTCTCCTCCCAGCATCCGCTCTATTCCCCGTGTTGTATGGTGTGCCATCCCTCCATTTAAAGGAGGGATGGTCGTCCCCAAACAAACACCAGCGATGGAAGGCCCTCATAGATAGAGGGCCTGGATGTTGGGAGCGATACTTTCGGAAATCTTCCCATGACTTCGAGCCTGAAAAAAAAATTATATATAAATACAACTATCTACCTAGGTAATACTTACAAAAAATCTACTGTAAACAAACAATAAAAGCAAATAATGTAATAAATTAAGTACAAATTAAACCAAAAATTTTGGTCCGTTTTCAAAACTGCAATATTTGTGCGAAATTTTTGAAATATTATCACGGATCATTTTTTTCAAGGTGGACCAAAATTATCGCAAAAATTTATCCGGCCGGACCAAAAATTTCAACGAAAATATTGGTCCGGGATAAAAATTTTCGCGGACCAAAATTCCAGCGACATATATTATATATTTATATATATATATATTATATATATATATATATATATATATATTTATATATATATATGCATATATATATATATATATGCATATATATATGTATATATTATATAAATTTATATATATACATATATATATATATATATATATATATATATATATATATATATATATATATATATACATATATATATATATATATATATATATATATATATATATATATATATATATATATATATATATATATATATATATATATATATATATATATATATACAACTATCTACCTAGGTAATACTTACAAAAAATCTACTGTAAACAAACAATAAAAGCAAATAATGTAATAAATTAAGTACAAGTGAGCACAACAACTTATTTATTTTACTCACTAATACTTGACTTATTACATTAACTAATTAAAGTGGAAAGCACATTTGTAGCTACATTAAAAAACAAAAGGTACAATAAAAGCAATCAATCAATGTAATAAGTCAAGTAAAGGTGAATATAACAACTTACTTGTAACAGAAGAAGCAGCAGCTAGAGATAAATAAAAGAAAGTTAAAAATGCAATAAAACCAATTAATCCATAAATTAAGTCAAGTATAAGTGAATAGAACAACTTACTTGTAACAGAAGAAGCAGCAGCTAGAGATAAATAAAAGAAAATTAAAAATGCAATAAAAACAATCAATCAATGTAATAAGCTGCATTAGGATCATAGATATACAGCTGACAATATTTGGGCAGACAACCTTCTGCAGGCCTTAAATTTCCAACACGATGCAAAATTTGCCCACAGACCCTAAAACAGAAAGGGCCATTATTTGAGGGAGGAGCTATTTCGGCAGTGAAGGAAGCAAAAGATAAAGAGGAATTATAACTCCTTATGTGTTTAAAAAAATTTTGATTTACAGCATGATCAACATGGTTTCCTGTCATTAAACCAGTCAA